GACTTGGTGTTGTCAGCACCACGCTCAGCCAGTGAGCGAACCGGCCATCCCTATATGGGATCCGAACCCGTGGCCTTGGTGTTATCAGCACCGCACTCTACCGAGTGAGCCACAGTCCGGCCCTAACTTTTCATTTTGTACTAAGGGCTAAAAACACAAATGCTTGGGCCGAGCCCGTGGCGCACTCGGGAGAGTGCGGTACTGGGAGCGCAGCAGCGCTCCCGCCGTGGGTTCGGATCCTATATAGGGATGGCCGGGGCGCTCACTGGCTGAGCGCGGTGCTGCCGGTCTCAAAAAGGACAATAAATAAATAAATAAAAATAAAAACACAAATGCTTAAGGGTGCAGAATAACACAACTAGTGAAGTAGTGTAATGCAATAGAGAGGGGTGGGTGTTTGACAAACTAGCTTGTTGAATAACTAAAAGGGCACAGCCTCTACCCTACTGTAACAATTGTTGCTGCATCTTAATACATTTTTTAAGAAAATGCTCTTTTTTTGAAAAGCTTTCTCGTAGCAGTTTTGTTTGCTGTTTGTGGCTGTACTTCTTAGGAAGGAGGATGGGTATGTAACTCATAATGATAGGAGCAATCAACAACCATCTATCCTAGCCTTTTCCTGATGGGTATTTAAAAAAAAATAAATTCCTAACTACAAGTGGGAGCAAGAAAGATTAGCTGCAAATTAGTGATAATAAGGAGATCCAGACCTACCAGTAACCATAACCTTTGTGTAAAATGCTTGTTAGCTTCCTAACTGTTCTTACCTCCAGTCTGACTCCTTCAAATCTTTTCTCCACTTTGCAATCTGATGCTCAGGTCCAGAGAGGTTAACCTATTTGCCCAGTTATAGAGCACTTCAAAACAGTAATCTGATGTTATTCTCCTACCCAAGTCTTTCAGTAGACTTTCCACTACTGTTTAGGGTAAAGACAAATGCTCCAATGTGTCCTGCAGGACCTCATTTAACCAAACCCCTGCCCACCTCTCCAGGCCAGCATTATAATTTCAGTTCCTCCATCTCTCCATGATCTTTCCTCCTTAGAATTCTGGGCCCTTGTCATTCCCCCACCTGATCTTTTTTTTTTTTTTTTTTTTAAAGATGACCGGTAAGGGGATCTTAACCCTCGACTTGGTGTTGTCAGCACCACGCTCAGCCAGTGAGCGAACCGGCCATCCCTATATGGGATCCGAACCCATGGCCTTGGTGTTATCAGCACCGCCCTCTCCCGAGTGAGCCACGAGCCGGCCCCCCCACCTGGTCTTTTTTGATTGCTTAATTTCTTTCTTCAGATTTCAAATGCCACTTCCCCAAGGAAGTCTTCATTCTTTTATATTAAATGCTCTTTCAGGACCTGTGGCTCTCTCATGGTATTCAGTTGAGCTGACATTTACATGTATGAGTATTTACACATCTATTTGAGTGATTCTCTGCCTCTCTCCTGCTCATCCACGTTTCAGGGAGCGTGTTTTTGCTCATCATGTTCTCAGTGTCTAGCACTGAGTAGATACTCGATAAATGTTTGTTGAATGAATGTTTTCTATATTAGTGTCTTTGGAAAGGAGGGAATAGAAGCACAAAAAGGAGTCAGAATTTATTGTTACCTTTATAGGGTAATGTAACTATAAAGAAATGCAACCATTACCAAGGGAAGAGTTGTGAAAAAGATAACGAGAGATTTGGATTTGGTAGCTGGAATTTCTACTTAGCATTCAGTGATCTGCACTCTTTCCATAAATTTGGAAACCAGTTTGGGTAAATGATTGCCATTAATCATTTAATGTGACATTCGTAGGACTTTAATATTTTAAACACACTGCCTCACTGAATTTGAAACAAACCAGTAAAGACAGGTATTAAACAATGTTAGATGACAGCCCTACTAACCAACCCTGACTGGCTGATAGAAATTTCTTTGCATATTAATAACATATCATTTGGTCTGACCTAATGCATTATATGCATTATCTCAGTTATCACATACAACCCTGGAAAGTAAATACTGAGTATCTGTTTTATAAATGGAAGAAACTGAGGCTCAGAAAAGTTATGTAACATGCCCAAAGTTTCACAGGTAGTAAGAGGGGAATCCAGGACCAGGACTTAGAACTAAGAGCCTCTGCTCTCAAATACTTCTCTAGTGAGAAGTAAAGTGAACCCCTTGAAACTCTATTCATCTCAAATCTTCAGAACTGACTTAGTTGACAGCATCTCTGATTGCAGCCAAATATAGGGTATCTCTTAAAGACTTATTTCAACCAAAAACTCTTAACTAAATCAATTAGCGCCCATTCCAGTCTGCATCAAACCAGAAATAAATCAGGAGGGAGGAAAAAGGCTTTTAGATAGAAGTAGAGTAGCGCCCAGAGAAATACTCCTGCCAGCCAGATACTGGGGAAGAGGCAGAGTCAAAAGCAGTGGCAGAACTGTCCCATCAGTTAGTCCAAAGGCCTACAGAAGCATACATGGAGTCACTTCTTCCTCTGTGCTGCCTTTTCAGTGGCATTTTCCACAGTTAACTTGTTTAAGTGACTTGTCTGTGAGCTTTCATGGGCAGAAATTTCTAGTTCAGTTGAAGCTTTTCTCAACCAGCGTTCCTCATTTGAACCACAACATAGAAAGATTTGAGTGGCTATTTTTTCAGTTCTCCCAAGGACACTGCATAACTAGTTAGCCCAGATGCATAGGGGAGAAGTTGATTACCAAAGTGGGTGGCTTGGAGTATTTGGGCTAACTTCTCTTGTAGAACCCTGATTGAGACAGCCCAGGTGAGGTAGACATTTAGTCAATTGGTAATTGAACTGAAGAGCTCACCTGGTCCTGTTCAGTGTTTTATATGTGATTCTGAGGTCCAGGAAAGTGAAGCAACTTGCTAAGTGAGGGGTCTGCTTGATGTGCCACTGACACAGAGACCCTGGGTTCAGTGGCCTATGATTATTATTTTTTTGGTGGCTGGCCAGTAGCCTACAATTAAGAAAACAGTGAGGTTTGGATCTACTCTAGAAACAACTCCATCATAAACAGTACTTAAGTGGAAATGTGTGGTATTTAAAAGAGTAAATTTTGGTTTTTTGGAAATTTCACTCACATAAGAAACCTGATTACCAAATGAGTGAATAAATCAATTGCTATTTCATCTACTGTTGGGAAGCAGTAGCTTTTAACCACCCTTTGGTGGTAGTAGAAAAGTCCTATTTCATCAAAATCTTAAAGTGCTAGGCAGGTTATGTATGACCACAATAGATTTAGTGCATGTACTTTGAATGAGTAGTGGGGATTGATTTTTTTTTTAGCGGCTGGCTGGTATAGGGAACTGAACCCTTGACCTTGGTTTACAAGGCTGTGCTCTAACCAGCTGAGCTAACTGGCCAGCCCTGAGTTGTGGGGATTGAGGTGTACTGGGGAGCACTCTTTCTCAAAGGAGCAGGTGCCACTCACCTCTTACTGCCACGAAAATGAAGGCCCAGCATCATTAGATTTTTTTTTTTTTTTTTTGGTGGCTGGCTGATTTGCGGATCTGAACCCTCAACCTTAGTGTTATTAACAGATCTTACTTTTAAACATCATTTCATTTAATCTTCCCATCAATCCTATGAGGCATTCTACAAATAAGGAAACTAAAATGTGGAAAGGATAAGTAACATGTAACACTGGAGGCCGGCCCGGTGGCGCACTAGAGAGTGCGCTGCTTGGAAGCACAGTGGCGCTCCCGCTGAGGGTTCGGATCCCATGTGGAGACCGGTTCCCACTCACTGGCGGAGCGTGGTGCGGGCGCAACACCGAGGGTTGTGATCCCATTACCGGTCAGTAAAAAAAAGACAAAAAGGGAAAAAAAAAAAAAAAAACCATGTAACACTGGGATTTGAGTTCAGTTGTGACTCAGACTAAGCCCTTAGCCATTATGTTATACTGTCCAACAGAAATAAAAACTCCAGAAAGTACAGTGGTTACACCTCTGAATGGTATTATTTTATTTTTGTTCTACCAAATTTTTATTTTTTAACTTTTTGTTCTCCAAGTCTTAAAACTTAAGGTCTAGAAAGATCATACAGGTAACAGTGCCAGATACTGGAATAAACTCCAGCTCTCCACTCTTCTTTATACCATGAGTAAATAGTTGTTGTGTCTAGTTGTGGATTGGGTGCCACAAAAGAAAGAGAACTAGTCCTTTCCTAAAAGAATATTATTGTGACAACCTAGCCCTCATGTGCCTTTGTCCAGATGTTCATGTCACATCCTTGCCCCTTTGTGACATAACTCAAACCCCATTAGAGTTAACCCTCAGCTTGTGCCCCACTCAGAGCAGAAAGAGCTTTGCTGCTCTCTCATATCAGTGATTTCACAGACTGCCTGTTTTTTAGCCCAGGTATCTGGAAGCAGGCTCAGACCTTTTGTCATGCACTTTTATACCTTGAAACAACAGTGAAGCCTTGTGCGTATGTTTAAGCGCCCATTTGGTTTCACTGGTTTACCATCTCGATACTTTAGTGAAGCCACTGGGCCCACGTAACACTGGGAGATTCTTGAGTATATCTGTGATACATCTTGCTAAAGGATAGGTACTTTTTATCCACCAAGGTGGCTATGGTGACAAAAAAGCATTCATCTTAGGGGTACCAGAATGGGCTCAGGTCCCAGTTCTGTCACTTAGGAGCCAATATCCTTAAGTCACTCTTGAGCAAGTTTCCTCCTCCAAGTCTGCTTAGGTTTCTAGCTACCAATTCCATCCCTAATAGGCCATGCTGCAGCCTGCTGAACTCCCTGCCCTTCTCTGAATCTGCTGGGCTCTCTTGCTTTGGGATTCATGCTGCTGTACCTACCTGGAATCCACGTCCCACCCCCACCCTGCTGTTTCTTGCCCATCCTTTAGCAGTGACATCACCTGTTCTGAGTATGTGCTCCTCACTCAGGCTGGGTCAGGTACCTTTCCTATTCCTTTGGCAGACTTTGCTTACTTCTGTTAGATTTAACCATTGTAATTGCCTTTTTACCTGTCCCCACCAAAAGTAACTTGACCGTAGTAATCATCCAAAAATATTTGTTAAACATATCAATCCTGAGAAATAATTACCATTTACCTCAGAGTTATTGGGAGAACCTATAAACTGTAGACTATTATCTGGTCTACTGTTGACCACAGCTCCTCTATCTTTGAGCAGTGACCATAACTCAAGAATATGCTGCTCCCTTGTTCTCCCATTCTTGACTCTCTCCACCATGCCATCGAAGACCCATTTTGAGAAGGTAACCTTGAGCTTCTGGATTTTGTAGATGTCTGTACTTGAGATCCGACAATGTCGTAGAAGGCAACTGTGCTGAAGAACTACTACAAAACTCCCATCGCGTTGTGGAGGAGTATTTTGTGGCCCCCCCAGGTACGTGTTGCCCAGAGTGGTTTAATAGATAGTCCAGATAGTCCCTGTCTACAGATAGGAACTGTAAGGACCACAGATGTTATGTGAAGGCACCTTGAAAACGATACATACAGATGGTGGCATTAAGGTGGCAGTAGAATTCAGGGGTCATACTTACTTCTAAGGACCAGTCAGTAACAGGAATGAGCAAAACAGGACTGGGGGAGGAGTGTGTACAGTGGGTTGCAAATCTAGAGCCCAGGCTCTGCCTAAAAGGGCAGCTGGCATTCACTGCTTCTGCATCTGGTGCTAAGCACAAATGTGAGCCCATTTTCCCGAAGAACCTGGATATCTGGCATTTTGTATGGTATTTCCCAAACTTTAAGTATGGCAACCAATTCAAAATTAAAAAAATAAAATACAGTGCAGGCCAAACAAAACATACCTGCAAGCCAGATGCAGCCTGTGAATGGTATGGAGATTAGCATCTCTAACCTCACCGTAAACATTTTTTTTTTTTTTTTTTGTCTTTTTCCGTGTCCGGCAACGGATCACAACCCTCAGTGCTGCCACCGGACCGGACCGGGGACCGGCAACGGGATCGCAACCCTCGGTGCCGCCCCCGCGCCTCACTCAGCCAGTGAGCGGGAACCGGTCTGTATGTGGGATCCGAACCCTCGG